TTGGTACAAATTCAACCTTTCATTCACTGTCTTGATATAAGCTTTCTTCTGGTTAAAAGAGTTCTAAAATACTGTAAAAGTGGTGCGGTTTGCCCAGCTTGCACAGGTGCACTCTGAAATTTGACAATTATATCGGGTGTACGAAGGATTCCTTGCGGAGATTGAGCAGCAAGCTCAACTGCTTCTTTACATTTTGTTTGAGCAAATAGTTCATGGAAACGTTCCACTACCAACTTCTCAGCACCAGGAAGGTTTCCTCTCTTGGCAAGACTTATTGCTAGCTCTAAATTGTTTAATTGACCACTGATAAAATTCACAATTGTTTGCTCATTAACGGTAGCCAGTAACACCTAGCCTCGTTTGTTAATGGCATAACAGCCTCCAATTGATCAAAATCAGGACAAATAGTGCAATGCCACCTTCGTTCGAGTATAGTTACAGTAGAACAACCATCACAACAATATTGAACAGATGAAGTGATAGTGTCTTCTTCAACCATGACTAGGTTATTTCTAGCACTTGTGTCAGCTGAGCCAGAAACTGGAACTACATTCTCAACACCATCATCAATTCTTAGTAGGTGTGTGGAACTCATTTTCAACCTGTTAGCAGCTTGGTTTTTTTCAAATGCGGATGAAGAACATGTTGCCGTCATGGATGTGCCTCAAATTTATGATCTTCTGATAATCTGGAGCAAAGTATGTGGTTTCACATGAAAATGATTGGACACAATCTGTTGTGGAAAATAATGTTGAGATAAACCTGACAGCACCAAGTTGAATGACAGGGTCTCGGAAGTATGAAATCAATGATATAGCAGACGTGACGACAGGAACTGGTTTAGTTGTGCACGAGAACACTACTTGGAGAAAAACAGGAATACTCGATGATGTATCCTTGGAAAATTTGGTGGTCATCTCTGAAAGAATATCTAAAACAGAACCTATAGCAAGTTGTAACCCTTCAATTTCCAATCAAACTTCCTGCTTGTTCATCATCAGCATTATCATCACCGTCAGCATCATCATGTTGCAGTCGATGAAATGGTTCCATTTTCAAGGTTAAAGCCGGCGTCTTCGGGATTATTCTGCCTATCACGTGTGCCTTCAAAGGTTTGGTATTTGTCTTGCGTGATGCCAGCATGACATGGTTTGGCACATATTGGAATTGTAAGCTGCAGCTGTGCGGCGGAGGAGGACAACCTGTGAACAAGTTTGGCAGCAACTGTTTGGAACTGGCTTAGTATGCCGTGAGCATGCTGATCAGTATTATTGAGTATGTTTTCTTGCTCCATTGAATTGCCAAGATGCAAACTGGCAGATTGGTTCTTCACAATGAAAGGTTGGTCCATTAGTTTCTCGTCCATCACCTGACACTGAAGAATTATTACCCAAAACATCTTCAACTGCGTAATTGTATCCGTATGACCGTTGTCCATGATTAGAATCAAACTGTTTATCCCTAACATCATTTGATACTTTGAATTTGTTGACATCTTGATCAATAGGATTGAAATCCATACTTTTCCTGGACTGAAGTTGATTTAGTGTAGAGAAATTATGATGCAAGAAAGTGTTTGGTCTTAAAGACCGGCCAAAATCCTCAATATCCCTAGGAGTCACAAGTTGGTTAGATTTAGATGCATCCAGTGTGCTTTTCACAACATGTTCTTTCATTCATGAAGCGCTTGCAGTCCCATCATTAGTATCAACAACTTCAAGCAACATCTGTTTCCCAGAGCATTCATTAGCATCATTTTCTGAATCTTTAACATGTGGCCTGCTGGCTTACTGCCTCTTATGGTAATCTTTAGACAGAAATGTGATCATAGGTTTAGCAAGTTGTACTTGGTTCTTCTTCATGTAATGTAATCCAGACAATTGGAAATACCAGAAACCACATATGGTATGTAACATTAGTATTTATGTGGGCCAATTCTCTCAACGGAGTTAATAGATCGAGCGCCTCGAGTTTTAAGAATCCTCATTCCGATGTAGAACATCAACGAATCATGGCTGGATTGATAATTTCTGAAACCGGCAGCTGTTCTTGAAAATCACACCCTGAGTTAGGGTAATGAATACATGAGTTGGAAATGTTGCATCTTGACCAGTTGCGGTCAGTTTGAACTGTGGATTTTGATGCCATGTATCATAATCCTAACACCCACCAGCACGGTAACCACGCCATTGACCATGAACAGTATGACGCATCTCTGATGGATAGATACGACAAATATATATTGATAAAAAATGAATCTGAAAAACTTGCCACGACATCCAGAATATACCATATTTTGATTGTGGAACATGCTTTAGCTTGTGCTTTAACCTATCTGTCCATTCAGGTGATGAGTCAGACGAGTGACCGTTCCACTCAAAATTATGTAATCTTCAATTATGTTCACTGCAACCTGCAAATGGTCAAAGTTTCTTTCCATAATCCCCACAAGGCGTGAAAAGAATGATAACAATTGAGGCACCAATGATGGTGTTTGAGAAAGTGTGGCCTCCCATAACAGCATGCTATCTAAATGAAAACCAGCTCTTGTTCTTAAGTTTCCTTTCTTTAACAGCTACCTTAGATTTTACAAATTCAATCTTGGCATGAGCTAGCAACCTCCATAGAAGAATTACTTTTGAATCAAGATCCTTATCTATTTCTCTGATTTCCAAGATGTTGACGGTGGATGACTGTTGAAGAGAAACCACGTATAACTGAATATATCGCCGCCGACACTAACAAAGATCTCTAATTTGGTCCTATGACAAGCGATAACACATCTTCAACTGCCGGAGTGTGGCCTAGGCAACATACTGCCAACACAGATAAGGAGCCTTTGAGATGAGAACTGTAGGTCGCAAGCGAGAAACTTCCATATATGTCTTGCATCTTGAAACGACTTCCAAGAGTTTTATCCAATCATAATACTGAGCATCAACAATATCATTGGATCTGTCAAGAACAACATTTACAACATTCATTAAAGCCAACCGCATACTTTCCACCACATCCCAGTTCTGATTTGTCACTCTTCTAGTTCAGATAGCTGCTGAACACGAACCACATTTGAAAGACCTTGAATAATAACTATGCCTTGAAAATGATCTTGAAAACTTGTATGATGCATGTCCTGTCTTGAAAACTTGAATGACATTTGAAAATTGGACTTTGAATTGTGACAATCATCTTGTCTTGTTGAACTCTTGACAACCTTCAATCATGCTTTAGAATCACTTGGAAATGATACACTTGAATAAACGCCTCCATAAAAACGGATCTCGATTGCATATCCACCAAACTTGATTCGTACAGACAAAACTCTGAATCTTAGATTAAAACTGGACCAAACTTCTCATAAAACACTACTCGATAAACTAATGATTCTCCACAAGACCACTTGACCTTGAATAATCATCTCTTGAGAAAATAGAGCACTGATACAGATACTTGCAAATGAAGTAATCCCTTGATAGTTTGGCCTTAATTGCACATGAATAGCTACACTCGATTCTAAGTCGTTCCTTTACCATGAATCTCCCTGCAAAACCCTAAACACACAAAGAAGAAGAAACAAGAAAAAATTGCAAAATATTTTTGGTATTTTGGTTAGAGGTTAGTAAACATAAACAACACAAAGCAAGTAAGAAACACATAAGGGTGGGAGAACCAAAAAGTATGATCTTGTTTGTGTATGTAATGATGCAAATGAAAAGTGGGATCTTAGGGGTAAAAATTAGGGTATTACAATGTGTGAATTACTTAGGATTTGTGATACACTTGACAGTTTGTTTTTTTGGAGGTGTATAAGTTTAAGTAAGTAAAGATAACAATGTTTTTAGTAAAACAAAGAAATATTAGAAGAACAACATAACAGTAAAGGCATCATTTTCATAACATAAAAAACTTGATAAATTTAACGTAAAAAAGGGAAATACAAATGGGCGTGTTCGTACATTTTGTAAGGAAAGGGAAACTCTTTTCTCTCAGTGTGCGATACTCAGAGTCTTTTTCTTAAAATGCTAACCAAAAACGTCCCTTTCTTCAAACTAAGCTCTGCATTATATAGGCAAAATGAAATAACCGTCAGACAACCTCTGGTGTCGCCACGTGTCGGGCCACTACTTTCGTAACTTCCCCCTGTTCTCTTTTCAAATCTATCTCTCGTCAGGCAACAAACTCCTATGTCAGCTGCCCCTTTTGTCGTCTTAGTCGACCAACCCCTGTCTCAGTCGATCACACACTTTTTCCTATGCTGTCGACTTAGGGTGCGCCCCTTAAGCTTCGTCAACTTCGACACTTTGCTGCTAGTAACTTTTACTGACTTTTCTCAGCCAACAAATACTGTTGGTTTAAGACATTTCTTCCTATTTCCTGTCGATGTCGACCCCTTTGCTGTCGATGTTTTTAGTTGGCTCTTTTCAGCCAACAAGTAAATAATTAGATAATAAAACAATGTGAAATTTTTAATTAATTTAATTCTTGTTTTAATTGCTTTTAAAATAATGTATGAATAATTGTGACACCGAATAAAACATTTTACGCAAGAAATTAAACTCTTAAAAAAATTTCTTTTTTATTCAAATACTTTTGTCGTCAAAAATACTTTTGTCGTCAAAGCTTCTCATCCGAACACGTTGTTTCTAAAGAAAAAAAGAGAGGAGAAAATAAACACAAAGCGTCAAAAAAAGTGTTTCGTCCTTTAGCTTACCATTATTCAAAAAGAAAAATCTTCTTATCTCTGGGTATCTGTGGCCTCGCTCGTGCTCTGTTCTGTTGCTGTTGTGACATCTCTCTTATTTCCAAGGCCAAACAACATCAACTATCACTCAACACACCACGTTATATTCTGCAACCTCAAAATCCAACTCCAATTACACTATTCAATTTACACCGCAAAAATTCCATTATAATTTATAACAACACCTCATACCGAACTGAACTAGCTTGAAATTTCCCTTTTCATCTTTGCATGCTTTAAATTGAGGTGTCTTTTGCAAATGGATCAACCAGGGCTACTTCGCCCTAAGAAACCCTTCATGTAACTAACTTCTCATTTCATTTTTTTTCATCTTCTTTCTATTCTATTCTATTATTATTATTATTTTTTATTTTATTTTTTATTTTCCTAACCAAGAGTTATGAAAATTGAAACAGTGCAGACGATGAGATCGTGGAGCTATTATGGCAAAACGGACCAATTGTCACGCAAAGTCAAAATCACCGGTATAACAATAAACCACCGCCGCGGAGAAACTCCGACGACTCCACTCGCGGCGGAACTTCATCACCGAGGGAGAATGAATATCTCTTTATGCAAGAAGGCGAAATGGCTTCGTGGCTTCATTATCCTAACACCGATGGTGATTCTCCTTTGGATCAATCCTTTTGTGCCGATTTCCTCAACCAGCCGTCGGCTGTTAATAACAATAGTACCATGCAAACTCCACCGTCTCGGGTTAGAGCCGAGCCTGAACCGTCGTCAATTTTGAGAACTTCTGCGAGAGAATCCACGCTTGTAGATTCGTGCGATACTCCAGCTATGATGCCGGCGGCGATTTCAGAGACAGTAAGAAGTTCGATGGAGCCAACGGAAGGAGCGACGTGCGCATCGGCACCATGGACGACGTTTGATGAACAGGGCGGTTCGAGTAGCAGTGGAGAACCGGTTCGAAAGGTAGAGGAGCTGGACCGGAAGCGAAAGGGAAAGCATACTGATGAATGGAAGTATCATAGCGAGGTGAGTGAGTTAACTCGGCAGTTTCCATTTTTTTTCATCTGTTGCTCACATTCCCAATGCGTTTGTGTCATCGTAGTCAAACACCGACCCGCTGCATTGATCATTGCTTTAACTTTTGGATTCCGTTCATTGATCTGTTCGAGCGGTGCCCTTTAGGAACAGTTGCTTTCACCTGATCTGTTATACATCTCGCCACTGAATTTGGCTAAGCCACGTGTATGATCATAAATTTGATGCGTTTTTCAAGGACAAAATTGTTCGACTTTCTAAGCTTACACTCCTTCCCTCTTTAAAAAAAATAAAAATTAGTTTTAATTGAGGACATATACCTTTAGTTTTTATTGATTTAAAATTTTAATTTTTTAAAAAAATAATATGACATTAAATATCTTTATTTGATTACAGAAAGAAAGTGGAACCCAGCTAAATTCAAAGTATTAAAGTGTTCACCTCATACATTTTTAAAACTATAATAGTTTTGATTTTCTTGTTTATCAAAATTCATATTAACTTTATAAAAAAATCACATTAAAAATGTAATAATTTTGATTTTTTTTTAATCAAAAATCTTTAAAATTTGGTGTGTAATTTGTTATCCAAGGTAATGAAAACAAAGTGATTAAAGTGTATATTTATCATGATCAACTTATGGTTGGAACTAATAAACATTTAGGGAGATTAATGTACTAGAACAAAGTAAAATAGAACATGATAAAATGAAGTGGAGTGAAGCGGAATGGCATATGAATTTTATTTTATTAATTGTGTTTTTTTTATAATTTGACGGAATAGAACACAAAAAACTAATTCAAGTTATTACATATACTTCAAATTAGAGGAAATGAAAATTGAAGAATTTGATGGAATATGTCTTAGTGCGTGAAACATTTTTAGTGAAAAGAGAAAAGAGAGAGAATAAAGAATAACGATCGTTATTATTGAATGTATATTAAAAGATGAATTACAACTATGTGAGTATATTTACAACTATGTAACTTTACTATTAAGTAACTAATATAACAAACATTAACCCTAATCAACTTGGGTTTGGGTTACGCAACTTGGATTATACTATCAACATGCCCCTTATAATTCAAGTTACTAAGCACTAACTAATAATAATCGATCTGAATTATTCATAATTTCTTTCTCAAAGTTAGGAATATGTCGATCTTCAATCCTTTGGGGAAAATGTTGGCCAATTGTGCTTCACTTGAGCAATGTCTCACTTCAAGTTCAATCTGATTTACCTTCTCCCTTAGGAAATGAAACCTACTCTCAATGTGCTTATTCCTTCCATGCAGAATTGAATTCTTTGTAAGATTAATGGTTGACTTGTTGTCGATCTGCAGCACCAGAGGTTTCTTCACTTCGACCTCCATCTCTTCCAGCACAGATCTGATCCAAATTGCTTGACACGTAGCATAAGATCCTACTATATATTCAGCCTCACATGATGATAATTCCACCACAGATTACTTTCTCGAGTACCATGAGATTAACACCAAATTCTTGAAAGAAGTAATGGCTAATTAGTTGTGCTTCTTCGATCTTCCTTATCTCCACACCAATCAACATATGAATAGCAAGTAATCTCAGCTTCTTTGCTTTCAGAATCTCGTAGAAATAGAATTCCATAGTTTGTCGATTCTTTTAAATATCTCAGGATTCTTCTTGCAGCTTTCATGTGTGATACCTTTGGTTCACTCATGTATCTTCTCATTAATCCGACTGAGAAACCTATATCAAGTCGACTATTGAACACATATCGCAGAGATCCAAAAATTTTTTTGAACAAAGTAACATCGAATTTGTCTTCCTCTCCATGCTTCTCCAGCTTCAAATTTGGTTCGACAAGTAAGGATGTAGGATTCGAGTCTTCCATCCTGAATCTCTTGAGTATCTCTTTGACATGCTTTCTTTGGCGTAGCACCATAACTTGTTTTGACATTTGAAATTTCATGCCTAGGAAGTACAACTTTCCCAAATTTGACATTTCAAATTCCTTCTTCATTAGCCCTTTGAACTTCGACAAGTTCTTCATGCTATTTCTAGTTACAAGTAAGTCATCGACATATAAGCAGATGATTGTTATATCTTGTGCTGCAACCTGAACATAGACACCATACTCAGACTTGCATTTGATGAATCTCAATTCGACCAAGTATGAGTCGATCTTCTTATTCCATGCCCTAAGTGCCTGCTTGAGGCCATAGAACGCTTTGTGCAGTTTGTATACTTTCCTTGCTTCCTCCTGTATCACAAACGCAGGAGGTTGTGTGACATATACCCCTTAATCTAGAAGACCATTCAGAAATGTTGATTTCACATCTAAGTGAAATGTCGACCAGCCTTACTTAAATGCTAAGGCTTCCATTAATCGAACAGTCTCCAATCTTGCTACCGGTGCATATACCTTAGAGCATCTGAGTCCTGTTCTCTAAAGAAATCCTCGAGTTACTAATCTTACCTTATATCCTGCTATCGACCCATCAACATTATGCTTCAACTTTAACACCCACTTCACTTCGATAACTTTTGTATGTGTTGGCAATTCGACTAACTCTCATGTATTGTTTATTTCGATTGCTTGTAACTCTTCAACCATAGTTGGCTTCCATTGTTTATTCTTTGAAGCCTCGGTATAGTTGATTGGTTCAGCACCTGCAACTGAATCAAAATGAACAAAATCTCCATCTGGTGTGACTTCATCATCACCAACCACTTCACAGTTTTGAAGCCTTATTAGGAATACTCTGGTTCTTTAAAGTCTTTACCTTGTGCTAGCCACACCCTCTCGATTGTTTGCTTTGACTTTGACAGTGACTGAAACATTATCGACTGAAATTTCTTCATGCTCACTACTTTCTTCATCAACTTCATAGTCCATCAACGACTTGTTAGTTACATCACCTGAATTCCAATCCCAGGAAGAATTCTCATCAATCATAATGTTTCGACCCATCATGATCTTATTGTTCATTAGATTGAATGACATGTATGTTCCAGTCTTATGATATCCTACTAGAATCATAAGTTCACTTTTATCATCGAGCGTCCTTCTCCTAGTATCAAGAATATGCTTGTAGCAAATAGAGCCAAACACCTTGAGATGACTCACTGATGGTCGTTTACCATTCCAAACTTCTTCTGGAACCTTATTTTTCAGCTTCTTGGTAGGGCACCTGTTTAGAATATAAACAGCTATGGTGACAACTTCACCCAATAAGGACTTTGACAAGTTCTTCTACTTCAACATGCATCTCGCCATATCCAATATGGTTTTGTTTCTTCTTTCTGCTATTCTATTATGTTTAGGCGTGGAAAGAGCAGTTACCTCATGATCAATACCATGTTTTGCACAGAACTTTTCAAATATTTTTGGATGTGTATTCACCACCTACATCTGTTCGCAAAACCTTGATAATCTTTTCACTTTGGTTTTTGACAAACATCTTGAATCTCTTAAAGATTTCAAATACTTCGTCCTTTCGCTTGATCACATAGATCCAGAGCTTTCGACTATACTCATCGACAAATGAGATAAAATACCTGTTTCCAACAATGGTATGATCTTCGAACGGACCACATACATCTGAATGTATTACTTCTAGTATGCAAGAGGACTTCATTGGCATAGTCGAAACAAAAGACTTTCTAGATTGATTCCTACTAATAAACCTTCACAGAGTTTGTCGGGCATCCCAAGACTTGGTATATTAGTTACTATATCTTGAGTAATCAGTTGATTGAGTGACCTAAAATTCAAGTGGTCAAACCTCAAATGCCACAGCCAATTATTCTTGTGGCAGACAACTGCTTTGAGGCATTGTACCTCAGTCGAACTTATCATAATCTTAAATGTATTGTTCTTTGACAGAGGAGATTTTAAGACCAAACTATTCTGGGTGTCGAATAGTTCCAAGACTCCATCTTTCATAAACACTGAGAAATCTTTTTCGACCAGTTGTCCAAAACTTAGCAGGTTGCACTTCATTCTAGGTACAGAGTACATCTTTGATCATAGCTTTTACTCTATTGCTCCTTTGAATAACTATGTTGGTAGTACCTTTTGCTTGCAACGAGCTATTATCTGCAAGTTTGACTTTACTCTTCTTCGACTCGTCGAAATCTGCCAACCACACTTTCCTACCAGTCATGTGATTCGAGCAGCTTGTGTCGAGGAACCAAATTTTGGAGTTGACATGGTCATCTGCAACTGCAACCATAACCACCATATCTTTAGAATCACCTGAATCTCGGCGTACAATGTTTGCTCATTCCTCCTTACCTTTTGTCGCATCCTTGTCTTTCCTGTACCAATAATTCTTGGCCAAATGACCACACTTTTCACAGTTATAGCACTGCACACCTTTTTTCTCTTCTTTGTCTTTCTGATAGGATTTTCCTTCTCCTCTTTTGGAGGATTTAGAAGGCCTATCATCGACCTTATTCTTTTGAGGGTTCGACCAAGATTTCTTGCTCTGAGTCTTGTCTACTTTGCCCTTGAACTTGTTGGAATCACCATGTTTCTTCCATGTCTGAGCCTGTAGTGCTTGTATCAAGTTTTGAACACCTTTCCTTTCGACGATCCTCATCTCATGTGCCTCCAACGAACCGACCAAATCTTTCAGTTTCATAGTTTCAAGATTGTTGGATTCTTGAATGGCTACGATAACTTGATCAAAGTGAGAGGTTAACATACACATTACCTTCTCAACTATCATCTTATCAGTTAGGGTTTCACCATAACCTTTCATGAGATGAACAAGCTTCTGCACCTTTGATACATAGCCTGCAATATTTTCTTCTTCTCCCATCTGAGTAATTTATACTGCCTTCGCAACGTCTGCAATTTGACGACTTTATCCTTCTCACCTCCTTCGTAATACTTGACAAGAACATCTCATACCTCCTTCGCCGATTCAACATTAGAAATCTGATCAAAGTTTGCCGAATTTACCACCGATTGAATATAAAACGCAGTCTTGCAGTCTTTCTTCTTAACCTCCTTATTTGCGACTCTCTGAGCATCAGTTGCGTTCTCAGCAAGCTCAGAGACCCATTAGTAACCACTTCTAGGGTTTCATGAAATTCAAACAGTGATTGCATATGTTTTCTCCATTAGATTCAATTCTTGCTGTCAATAATTAGAAGAGAATTCGGAATGTCATTGTTACCATTCATCTTTGCAGCAAACACAATTAACAATCCACAATCTCAAAAATACGATCACCGACGTGTGATTTTTGAAAACACGATCAAGAAACTAACTGTAGTTCTAGATACCAATTTGTTAATGCGTGAGACACTTTTAGTGAAGAGAGAAAAGAGAGAGAATGAAGAATGAGGATTGTTATTATTGAATGTATATTAAAAACTGAATTACAACTATATGCGTGTATATATACAATTAAGTAATTTGAGTATTAAATAACTAATATCACAACCCCTAACCTTAATCAACTTAGGCTTGAGTTTGGGTTACACAACTTGAATTATACTCTCAATAATATAATGGAAATTCCGCTTCAATCTAGTATTTATAAATCCAAACAATAGAATCTAATTATATCCCATTCCAATATATTCCAGGCATACTAACAAGATGTGCTAGTTGTCTTCAAATTGACAATTTATGGTGGAGTAAGTGTCCCCAATTACATGTACCATATTTTTTAGTCTTAGTCAAAGTAAAAGCTTCTTCAAAACACTCTTTATGGCTTGGTTTTAGGATTTGAGTAGAAGTGGATGTATAAACATATATATGTGAGGTATGAAGATGAATATTGAAGATGAAAATTGAAGATGAATCCTTAGCTTTCTTTCCTTGCTCAAATTTCAGGAAGGTCCAGAATCAATTTTAAATAGAAAAAAAAAACAAGCACTTACTTTTTGACTAAGTATATCTTACTTGTTAGTGGTGAGTTTACCACTTGGGCTTATGGCTTTAGTGTTAGCGATATGGGCAGGGTGTTGTTTGAGTAGGAGCTGAAGGTTTAATTACTTGTGAACCAGGAAAATTCTGGTAAGCTTGAGTTAGAAGGGAATTGCTCTTGGCTGTTATGGTGAATGAACTTTCAATTCGTAGTAGGTTGAAGGTTACATGGTTGAAAAGGTTGGCTGTTGGCGGCTTGGCTCTGACGAGGATTGGGTGTAACGATCAGTTATTTTACAACTTCAATTCTTTAGAAGCTTTTCATCTCAGCTATGTAACATATTATGGGAATCTAACCCCCTGATTGCAGTTCTTCTTCCAAAATTCCATATTTCTACACAATGGCATCTTGGACTGATTTATCAGGAACAGAATTTAAATGGAAGAAAGGAAGAAAGAATCAAAGAATAGAAAGTGTATGGAGAATAAAGTTCTCCATAAGGATGCTTTCCCTTGAAAAAGAATAACTCCTTTCATGCATGATATCTAGTGTACATATTTCTCCTTTTGTACATGATAACCCCTTACACTACTTAAAAAACTACACCACTAATTAATCGTTACTACGCTGACCTAACACTCATTTATTCTTTATCCGAAAATTTCCCTTCTTTTTGTAGTCTTGTATCTTGTCATATACATTGAAATGTGCTTTAGGCATCAAACGGTCAACAACATTTTATTTTAATCTTTGATTGTTTTTCCGCCAATTCGTTCAAACTAATTCATTTGCAACCTCTATTTTCTTATTTCTATTTGTCTTGCTTTAAAAGGATGTTGATTTTGAATCTGCGGAAGAAAAAAATAAAACCAATGGATCATCAACAAAGAGATCTCGTGCTGCCGAGGTCCATAGTCTCTCAGAGAGGGTCTGTTATCTGTCCAAACATTTCTTTGAGTTCACATATTTTATGCTGTTTATGTGAACTTAAAAGTTTTCACTTTGCATTTACATCCAGAGGCGCCGTGATCGGATTAATGAAAAGATGAAAGCCCTGCAAGAACTTATACCTCAATCTAATAAGGTAAACCGATTTTTTAGATTTCCCAGTTCTTCGTTTTTGTTTCTAATCTTTCTCCTACTCTTAATTCATAGTCTGACAAAGCGTCTATGCTGGATGAGGCAATTGAGTACTTGAGGTCACTACAGTTACAAGTTCAGGTAGACTCCTCTATGTATTTGCGATCTTTAAAAACGGTCATGCCACTATCGTAGCAAATTGGTCATGTAGTTTCATTCTTGAAACAGAGAGTACAACTTATGCAGATGATGTCCATGGGATGTGGCATGGTACCTATGATGTTTCCTGGAATCCAGCAGTATATCCCACCAATTGGAATGGGAATAAACAGACCAGTAATGCCGTTTCCCAACATGTTGCCTGCTTCTACTTTGCCTGCAAATTTCGGACCAAGGTTCGCTATGCCTCCTTTCCACATGCCGCATGTTCCTACACCTGATTCATTCACAATGCAAGCAGCGAATCTGGCAGATAGTAACATGCCCACCTCAGTTGGAACACATGATGCAAATCAGCAACCTATCCCAAACTTCACTGATCCTTATCAACAATACCTTGGACCCCAACAGATGCAGTTTCAATTAATGCAGGTATTTTGTTCGCTAATACTATTTTTGATTAGGAATATTTTAAAGTGTGTGAAGGTGAAGTAACTTCTTGAACATGAGATCCATTAGAAGATCACAATGATGTAAACATTTATGAGTCCATTTCCATGTGTAGAATAAGGCAATGAACCAACCAGATGTCAGCAAGTCAGAAATCCGCCAGTCAGGTAAACTACCCTAACCTAGTATTTTGCCAGATTTGGTTTATTATTTTGGGTTTTAATGATTGTGATATATGCCTTACTGTGTGCCTGTGTTGTTTACCGTCTCAAGTCTTCTATTTTCCAGAATCAATTTACCTTCAATTCAAATTTGTACTGAATCCTTATAATACAGTATCAAATTTGGCAGCTAGTATCTCAATTTTTTCTTGATGATGTTCTGGAGATAAATGATTATTTGATAGTTACAATCAAGGGCTTACGGAAATGGTACTACTAGTATTATTGTAAGTTCCGAATACGCTATATTTCACAGAACATGGATAACTATGCGTAATTAGTAATGTATTTGCATTGTGTAAATTGCAGTTATATTTTCTGCCACCCAAACTACAGTATGCCAAGTTTTGTAGTGTAACGGAAGGACCTTTTTATCAGTTCCAGTTGCAAGCTAATCTAGATAACATGTAAATTATTGTAACTTAATTTTCTCTCGTTTTTGGTATTCCCTCATTGACACTTTTTCTTTTTACAAAATAATTTGGTACGCTTGATCACTGGTTAAAGTGTCCATGGATTACACTAAATGTGTGTGTAAATGTTCAGATGTGAAAATAGTTTACAACTGTTTATTCCTTAATAGGTTGTGAATCTGTCCGAAGATAATACATGGCTGTGGTTAGGTTGTGATTTTCTTTTGGCGGACCCGTTTGGTCATGCGATGTATCCCGGGATTTTTTTTTCTTCATAATTTTAGTAACTATCTCTTGTTGTTACTTAATTCAACTCTAGTGTTTATTAGAAGTTAGTTAAGTTGGTGGTTAGGAAGTTATAATTAACTCATTGATTGGTTATTAATTATTAATTTAGTTAGTAGTGTAAGGTCAATTAAGTCTAATTGCAATTCACCTCTTTGATTTTTCTCAACTCATCTCTTTACTTCTCCTTTCCTCGGTTCTTGTAGAGCAAGAAAACCTTTGCTCTAACCTATTGGTATTTTAAATCGGATGCTTGATTGTGTAGAATACACACATACAGAAATCTTCATTCATTACCAATCAAATAAAGATGACTAGTAGTAATGGCATTTCAAACACACTTCCAATCTTGATAGCAAGAATGGAGAGAGATGACACAAACAAATAAAGCCTTTGTTTGTCTATCAAGACACACTTAAAGTGGTTGTCAATGGAGTTTAGTCGAGTACAAACATAGTTAAATACGTCTACTAATTTCCATGAAGGTCATGGAAGCACTAAGTTAAGTCAAACCTAAGGGGAAATTGACAATTTTGCATTTTGCTTATATTTCTTGTTTGTAATGGTACTAAATAAAATAATTATTCTAGTACATAATGAGAATATACTACATGTGTGAATGAGAAAAATGATAAATATCATAAAAGATTGGAAAAGAAAGTCAAATGTTGGGCGGGTGGCAAAACAGGTCTATGGACATGTCCACTTTATTCGCTCTTTGTTGGACGGACCAAAGATTTAAACTCACATCCACTAATGTTTTGCTACTGATATGTGATATCTGCAAGTATACAAAGTGTATCAGAGTAGTATAAAAGGTTGTTGAATCCCACAAAGACTTAATGGTCAATCTATCGTCCCACAAAGACTTAATGGTCAATCTATCGTCTTCAATTGCTACGGTGTTTATCTAAGACGGTCATAAAAAGATTTTGGAATGAAAATAAAATAAAAAAATAAGAAATTAATAAATTCAAAAGTGTATTACTGATCATAAAAAGATTTTGGAATGAAAATAAAATAAAATAAGAATTTAATAAATTCAAAAGTGCATTACTAGAATGTGACTTTCGTCAATCAACGAAACTCCTATTATTTCTAAATAGAACTACTTACCGGACAATATTTTCTTCCAAAACAAAGAAATTAATTAAAAAGGAACTGTCACATTACAATTTTTCGGAACTGAATTTAATCTTTAAATCTACACCGTCCTCTCACGCGTAATCGGTTGCGTATTGCGTTCAAGTAGAAAAATATTTTTTTAGTAATCACCTCTTTATCTCAGTTGAAAAGTAATCTTGATTGGAAACTTTAACTTAAAAGGGTTTCCGTCATATGCTCGACCAACCGGATTCTAAACTTATAAATGTGTTCGAAAATAGTTTATAATTCACCTTCTAGAAATATTAAATTCTCCTAATTAATTAGCAAAGTGTTTTCACGGTTTTTATTAATAAAAAACTAATAAATTTTTATCTTAAGTGTCAGACGACTTTCGATCTTACCCGACGTGTCACAGTTCTACTTTCGATGTAACCGATCAAATTAACTGCGAAACAATTGTATTAAAACCAAAACAACCCCAAGAGTAATTCTATAAAAACAACTTATAGAGTATTGTCGTAACGACGATCCTCACATTCCAGTACTAACAAAATTAGTTGGACATGGTAATGGTAAACATTTTGACTTTTGTTTGGAAAAAGAAATTAAACATAATAAGTGTTTTGATTGAAATAAAGGTCGTGCGATAAAAGTAATCAAAGTAAGTGGTGCAATGAAATTAACGAAATAAAGCAGTGCAGATAAAATAAATGAAATAAAGCGCTGCGAGGAAAGTAAACAATGTAAAGCGTGAATTAAACGTACAAGGAAATAAAATAAGGTAAGTAAGTGAACAAGGCGAATAAAAGGTAAATAATACATAAATTAATAAGAACATGCTCCAATCAGAGACTTGAATTCTGATACAGGAAATAACTTCGGCGGAATGTAAATGACGATAAGTTTAAAAGCGATAAAATAAAGAGTGCTCCAAACTCAAATACAACAATGATGCAATAATCCTCCGGTGTGGAGAAGTGTTTCTTTTATCAGTGAATTTATGCCTAAGGTTGTAACTAAGCTTGGATCCTTCATATGGTGCAAACTAAGTCCTATTTATACTAGTACTAAGTCTTGGAAACCAAGTAGCCACTTCTGAATTTGTGTGAGGGGAAAAAAAGGAGAAAGTGAGATGATTCTCCAACTGTCAATTGACTAGGGCATCAAAAGGAAAGATGGCGACCGCCATGTAGGGGTGGCGAACGCCATCTTCACAAAACCTCCAAGAATTAGTCTTTGTGACTGTTGGCACGTGGGATACGTCATATGTCACATGGCTGCCTCCATGGAAAACACCATCATGGACGACGTGTATGTAAATTGCTCATTTTCACCATTTTTTCTTTGTTTCTGTTTGTTTCTTCAAGTATGGCTCTTTCTTGGCTATGTACCTGAAAACTAGACAAAATACCAGTATAACACTAGAAATAAAAATAAAACAAAGGTAAAACATGTGCAAGTCGGGCCAAATATGTGGTGTATTTTGGTGTCATCAAAATCTCTCACACTTGAACTATTACTTGTTCTCAAGCAAACATCATAAACATAATAAGAAAAATAGCAACACAAGTAATCATCATAGGCTAAAGAATTTAATTCGATCAAAGTCACATCGATAGGTACTAACTCGCAAATTAAGGATAACGTAGTGTTGGCTGAGAATCAGCCCACATGGCATTTGACCTCGACGGAAGTTAGGAAAAAAAAAATAAAAAAAAGGTCGACCAACTCCTTACATGACAGCCAAAGGTCGACAACGTTGAAACTTGGCAAGCAACACACCTTGACTCGACAACATGAGAGGAATGAGTCGACAGGCCCTGCATCGATCGAACAAAGAGGAAAGCCAACAAGGGTATTCTTAACAAGAGAAGCAAAAGGCTTGGCGGGAAGTCAGTTTGAAAGGAGAAACGTGGAGGCAGTTGTCCAGAGACGTGGGATGACATGTGGCACATCCTGAAGCCCCTTGGCAGGTACCTCGTACGCCTATATAAAGCAAATATTTTCTAGTAAAGAGGGCGTCTTTTGTCAGGATTGGAAGAAAAACACTCTGAGTACCGCACTATAGAGAAAAGAGTTTACTTTGTCATTCCAAAATGTACGAATACGTCCAATTGTCTTCTTCCTTGTATTTTTATATTGCACTTTAAGTTTTACTTTAAGTTTTGCCAAGTATTTAAGATATTCAATGCATTATTGTCAGAGTATCTATAAAGTTTTTGTTTCAGCCATTTCTTTATATTTGTCAACTCTTAGTCATTTAGAGTGTAAACCACAAAATATATAACCATCAAAGTGCACCATAACCCAAGTAAACAATTCACCTCAAACCAAATCATCCTAGGACTAGTTTGGCCAATCCCGCAAGCAAATCCGCATAGGAAGGCCAGAGGTTGTCCGCGCAAAAATCACGTGTGAACAAATTGGCACACCTGGTGTGACCCATTGGTTTAGGTATATGCAGTTACGTAGCGGAAAGATGGTGACACTGTGACCAAACGAAGAAACATCTTCACAAGGAAACACGTTTTCCTCTCCAGGAGCGGTTCTGGACACTGGACCCATGCCAACAGTCACTTCGACCGTTGGCACCGCACCATTCACGACTCCAAGTTGACCGGAAGTGCGGCTCGCTACGACTGGAATCGTCTGTCAACGCTTACATAGTTTCAACACTTTGGCACCCCAACACTTGGGGATGCTACCAGAATTTATGTCGAGCTAGCGTTACATGGGAATAGGCATGGGAGAGAATTCGACCTCCGCTTTTTCGCCGTATCAAAGCCTAGGCCCCGTGATCCAACAAGGAGGAGGGCCACCAGGTTTTGGGTCACTCCCCACAGCAATACTAACTTTTATCACTAGCTCTGTCACGACCATGCGCCAACAGATGGACGAAAACAATCACGACATGGTGCACACGTTAACCCAACAAATGGGCACCATTCTGCGGCATTTAATACAAGATTCGAAACAAAGTTACCAACAATTGGCAACCTAGGTAACCCGAATAGGAGACTTTTTAGGGGCACCTAGGAACGTAGGAGGACCAATTCCTCCAAATCGTCCTGAGACGCCGGTTCGACAAAACGAGCCTATCGGGGAAAGAGACGAGCCACAAGCGCCTGAGTATGAACGTATCCCTAGGGTAGCCCAGAGGCCCCCCATAATAATGGCCCGCAGGGACCAATACCCCGACCACATAGTCCGATAAGTTAGAAACGAGAACCTCAGAGGCGAAGCTAATCTGGAAGCTATGGTCGAATGCATCATGGTTCGAAATGGTGTGAACCCTAACCTCCGATGGCCCGCCTACACGTCCCTGTTGCCGAATTTTGTGTTACAAACAAAACTGCCAAGGGGCTGGAA